TTTCTGCAATCAAGATATAACTTCATTGTCAGACATAAGAGCAATAGAGTTTGTGTTAACTTTGTTATTTGGAATCAGGTATTGAAAGTAATGTAATATGATTCCCTTGGACACATTGTTAAAACCGAGTTTGCTTGGAACCATCATGGGCATCCTTATTGTGTGCGTATGTGTGTTTTGGTGCCAGTATCTTGATTTATGTGTTTTGACATTGTTTATTTTTTCTTTCAGAAATAATGTAATTTCTACCATGTTTTTTTGTGTGTGTATGTACAAAGTGTTCTGTGTCATTCTCTAGAGATTGCCTATGATTTGATTTCCTAGAAATTAATCACAAGCTCTGAGGCATGGTGTCCTCTGAGATGCACCGTGGCTCTGAGTGCCATTAGCTTTTTTCTCCTTTTGTGTTACGTACTAAATCGAACAAAGGAAAAACAAACAGACTGCACTTCATAATTGCTTTTATAAAAATCACCAGGCAGGTTAAAATTGCACTGGTTGAGCTGTAAATTTGGTCATTCATTAGTGAATGGTGAAGTATCTGGGCCTATATATCTGTGCCTGTTACGTATATTTTGAACAGTTTATTATTCAGTTTTACAGTTTATACTATGAGAAGAAATTCAAGCATAAAAGGGGGATTTAAGGGATCCTATTGACTACTTAATTTGTGCAATTTGTACTAGTATATATCTATTAATTGTATTGTACAACTTGATTTGCTCTGCACTTTGGATTATATAGTGCATTTGGTTATTACTGTACAGTGGTAATTTGATTTAGTCCTGAGAACATATTATGCAATTTGTTGGTTTTGCCATGCGGTAATGTGATGATCAGTTTATTACATTACATAACGTGATTTGTCTCAATTAAGGTCTAATGAGCAGCTTTTGGCCTCAATTGTTATGAGGTAATGCACCCTGCTTAAAGTGGTGGCCAGACACAATGTAAGTCGTGTTTACAGTCAACTTGGATCAGCCCAATTCTGTGACTCCTCTATAATGGCCATCTGATTAAAATAAACTCACTTCATGGAGCCAGTTTAATCCTTCTGATGCCCCACCCACAGCTTTTGAAATTGAGTGAAGTTTGGTGGAAAAAGATGGGTGATTGAAAAGATTTCACTATCTGGTACAGAAGATGCGTTCCCATTCAAGTTGTGATGATTTAACTTACTGTAATATTAGCATGTGTAATCTCAGCAGAACTTGAGATTATGATTAGGTCACCGGAGGGAACCAATCTTATCCCTCTGTTCATCTACCAAGTACCATTTTAATTGATTGTCCTCCTGTGAGTGTTTTGTTCCCCTCCACTTTCACTGGCCCTTACTTGTAAGTTATGGAGGGTGTGGCCCCATTAATTTAAGGTTATTGTTTTACATAAAAGCCAGGCTAAAAGTATTTAATCTTTCAAATGGGAATCTCACAGAAAAATGTTCTGCTCATTGTGAAAAGGGGAGTTTAAGGCCACTGCATGCGTTCTCGACCTATGTTCCTCCTTGAAAATTGAACGTGTGATAGGCTTACTGCTTTAATCTTTCTTTTGCAGCATTCCCTTTGATCTACAAAAAGATAATATATCTGTGATCTTTGTCATTTTGCAGAACCTGGCTGTTCAAAATTTTCAAGGTTGTGTAATTTTCCAAGAGTTTATTGATTACTTTACCTTTGCTGCAGTTACCAATATACTCATTGCTGAGCATGCTCTTTTTGAATAGTTATCATGGCATGTTATTTTTAGATCCAAAGAAAACAGTTGATTTCTTTTGGACATAGCAATTTGTTCTCTACAATTGATAACCAATATTTTTTTAGAATATTTGAAAGCACTAAATATTTCATCAAGCTGTTGCTCTTTAAAAGCAAAGAATAACCCTTTCCACAAAAGGTTCTAATTTTCTGACACAATCTGAGATTTAAGCGAATAAAGTTTGATTTATTTGTTTTTTTAGTCACAGGGGACTATCTATTTGTGGTTGGGCAGCCCCAGAAAGCTGATAGACCCAGCTGCAGGGTAAACTAATAAGGTAACAAGTTTGGAACACAAGCTTTTACCAAACTGCTAAATCAAATTAAAATGTCACATAAGCATTTTACTCATCAACCACAAACCTATGAAGAGTACTTTTGTTTTCAGGACTGCGATGCATGCCAATTAACACACTGACAGAGACACCAAATTGCTGCATGCTGTGCCCATAGTCAAATTAATCACCATATGTCTGTAATGTAAAAATCAAGTTGTAAGGGTATGTTTCTAATGGTAACCCCCTTCCCAGGAGTCAAGAACTGTGTATTATTCATAAAAAAGTCGCGATGGAAGTTTTTTGGTGGTTGATGGGGGAAAAAAAAAACTCAATATGAGCATACAAAATTGGTATAAAGAGTATAGGAGTTCCATTAGTTGGGTATTTGCCTTAAAATTCAAATCAGCTTTCAGTCTTTGGTTTAATTCTGAACCAGCAGTACTGAAAATCTTAGGCTCTATTCCCATAGATTTTAGATCGATCTATCCCCGCAGGGAGTCTCACTAGATTACTTTCAGATTATCCGACTTAAATGTCCGTCCTGCCTACTACAAGCTGTAAGGGGGTAATTAAATATCGTGTCTGCCCAGCTGACAGCTATTTAGCGTGAACCCCCAGGGAGTTAGATCGATCTAAAGTAGGTCGATCTAATCTATGGAAATAGGGTGTTACTCATCTCATTGGGGAGACTTACATGCAATTCTCAGAATTCTCCATAACATAGGCATGTATCACCCCAGGCCTGGTATCACAAGATGGCTTTAGTTTTGAATCACAAAGTATGACATTTTAAGCACAAGTTAAGTACATAAACCACTTCTTGTTGAACTTATACCTGAGGACAAGTTAATCATTGTTTATCATGTTTTTAGAGATGACGCCAAAAAAGACTAGTACTGTATGGATAAAGTCACTTTGAGGAAAAAGTTATTGGCTTTTCCTAATGAACAATGAACTTTAAAAGAATATTTGTTAGATGTTTTACGTATAATATGTTCTCATTCACATGATGTAGCCAAACCAGTGCATTATTCGTACTTTGATTGTCTCTCAGCACTCTTTTGAAATGACTGCCAAACAAAGTCATGGTAACAAATTGTTTGCCATCAAAGGTGCAATTTTCCTTTTATTGTTCTTCAAAATTAGTTTATAGGGAAATGCTGTAGTATTTTCCATGTTCAGAAATTAAGCAAAAAATTTATCATTACACTGTATATGCAGTGTTCTTTTTCCAGCTGCCAAAGCAAACCAGTTGTATCACCATTAAAAGTAACTTTATCTAAAAATTTTCCTTGTGTTTCTCAACATGTGGTTACAGTTTTTGCTGCCAAAACATACAATATGTTTCTTTGTGGTGATCATCTGTCTGCAGTAAAGGTCCTTGGATTAATCATCCCGTAGAACATTTTATTGAAAACTTATGTTCATTTACTGAAGTGTCAGTTTGCGGTAACGGTTACAGTTGAGAACCAGAAATGAAATAGAACATGCAACTAGATATAGCATACGAGTTCTATTTCTGGACAATGGTAAATAGATGTAATAACAAACATAAAGCTGGTGCCTAGAAGAAAACTGTTTATCTCTAAGGTTCTGGAAGGTGCATCTAAGTTTAAGGCAGTTATTTGGAGCAATTGCCTGTATTGATTGATTAATTGGAATACCATTGTGAAAATGCAAGAGATTTGGTAATAATTAATTTTACGATATAAATCTGAATATATGGGGAGAAATTCTAACTAGCAAAATTAGAGTTACATTGTACATAAAGATGGTTTAGTACCTTGTGGGCTGTGTAAATTTGCAGCAAATTTTCTGCTGCTGGACGCTTTTTTATGCCATTTTCCTGTCCAAACACAGAAATTCCTTTAGATGCAGATGTAAAATTCTATGTCTGCTTTGAATACACACTGATATCTCTTTCACTTAAAATTCCTAAAATTAAGTACAGGAACATACACAAAAAGTCTTTGTATATATCATAGATCTGGAGAACAGATTACAACTTATATCACATAATTTTAGTTCCTGCAAGGGGTCTGATGCTGTGCAAGCACATGTTTCTCGAAGTTAACATCCCAATTAATATATGAAAAATATCTCCATAAAATAGTTCCAGATGTGTGTTTTGGCTTCATGAATCCCCAGCAAACGAGTATCTCTCTTTTATCTAAATAGGCCCTAATAAGTTTGATGTGGTTGCAGGATTTCCTCTTCATACAGGTTTCCAGTTTAAATTATTCCCAGATTTGATGGATTTGCTAAGTGCTTTTATGCTTCCTATTACAGGGTGCTACTGATAGATTTAACTCTACACTCACATGAATGTTTAACAGGTAACAGATTTGAATTGAAAAATTTCCCACAACTCGCAAGATAAATAATCAATCAAACTGTCCAAATATATATATATATATGTACTCGGTATATATAAAACATGCAGACATGTGACCTGTCATGGGACCTGTCATGGGACCTGAGAACAGTTGTCACCATCATGGCTCCTGTCACTCATACTTCGAATCTCTACAAGTCCCCTAATTTTCACATCCGTCGATACAATTTTTTCTGAACTATACCAGTTTAAGAGATTGACAATGTGAGAGAATTCATAAGAGAGTCACCTAAATGGAGCTCCTGTGCCAGGCCTGGCCAGTAAACCAGATTAATTTAGAGACCATTCTCACAGATATTTAGATTGATCTATCCCCCTGGGGAGTCTCACTAAATTGCTGTCAACTTGGCCAGCTTAAATGTTTGTCGCACCTAGTAAAGCTGTTAGGGGGTAATTATCTCTACCCCTAGCTGATTCGGTAGGCGTGACAGACATTTAAGGCCTCTTGAGCTGACATCAATTGAGCGTGAACCTCCAGGGAGTTAGGTTGATCCATCTGGATCGATCTAAATCTGTGGGAATGCAGTCTTAGATTTGTACGTTGGGGTTTTAGAAAAGGAATAACCCCCCCACCCTCCCCTCCCCAAATGTAGTTCTTTTATGGCCAGTCTAAATGGTGCAGTACAGAAGCTGTATCACTGGATGTGAAAAGGGAGTGAGTTGCACAAGTCTACTTCCTACAGATCTATATATCTCTTGAAGGTCTCTTCGAATAAGCCACCATTTTCCATTTTGAAAAGTTCCCTTTAAACTTAAAACATCCGATAATTTGATGTTCACAATTTTGCCATGCTGATAGTACATAAGTAGATGTTTAATTATCTATAATCAGAATATGTCCTCATTTTCTTTAGTTTATGGCAAAGAATAATGCTGTAGCATCACTTAAGTGCATTTGCAATATTCATAATCGGTGGTTAGCAGCAATCCTTGCAGTCACAGCAGATTATACATGAATATTTCAGTAGTCACACCATGTTGAATATTGTCTAAAAATCATATTTCATCTTCCACTGTACAAATAGGCTGAATGCTGGCTGCCTCTACACATCCCGGTGCAGATATATTCCGAAAAAGATCCTTACATTGTGTTTCCATGGCAACATTAGGCCACCCTTCGGGTAGCTCAACAAAGTCACGAGCAGCCATGTTTGCCTCGGAAGGATCGTGTTCTTTAACAGCTTCTCTTTTTGTCCAGCGTTTTGGGACTTGTATCTCACAGTCAACATTGTTATTGTTTTTCTTTAAAATTGGACTAGGTGTGAGGGTGACACCCTTGCCTGGTCTGTGCACGTGTACATCTGCCGTAGTGAGAGAACACATACATGGCGAGTTCTGTATGTTGGGCTCTTTCAACATGTTGGAGCTGCGACACACTTCAGTATTGTAAGGCATGTTCCTGTTGGGACTGCCTAAGCATGTATAATTTGAATGTGAACAGCCTAATGTGCAACATTTTACTTCTGGGGACAGTTCACATGTATGATGACCTTGACATTTACCTTCACCTTGATCTGCACAGCTAAGTGAATTTGCTACCAGAGGGCATCCTCTCTGCAGGTCCAGTCTCTTACCATTTGGAGTTGACTTTTTTTCAACTCCCAGGTCAGCATCTGTTGACATGCAAAATCCTTTTGTATCCAAGGAATTCTGACCTTGACCTTGACCTATATCAGAATGTGAGTCTGGTTCCTGTGAATATTTCCTGTCACTGAAACTCCAGTGGACTTGCCTTGGGTTACGGACCGGTGTAATGCTCGTCTCCCCTTCGCTGTTTCCTGTCGTTGAATTTACTTGCATGTAGTATGTATTCAGCTTTGCATTCTCTCCCGCATCGAGGCGGGGGTCACCAAGGTTAAGGTCATCCTCATAGTTTTCTGAATAGAACGAGCATTCGTCATCAGCATGAATAGATATCTCACTCATTTCAAAATTCCTACTAGCTTCTGTCTCAGTGCTACTGAAGAAGGACTTCCCAACTTCTCCATTTGCTTTGAACTTCCGTGTACGTTTGCTCCCTTTGAATCTTGCCACCATTACAATAATTACAATAATTACAAGAGCTAATAGGGCCCCTATGCTGCTACCAATAGAAACGGGCACATGCCAGCTGGAGGTTAAGGCATCTATGCACACGGCACTGGGACTCGTAAAGTTCTTACTGTACACGTCCACACACACTCGATACTGCGTGTTCGCATCCAGGTCATCAATAACGTAACTGGAGATACTGGGCTCCAGGAGAGTGCTCTTGATGATTCGTTGACTACCCTCATGCTGGTGACGGACAACGAAGCCTGTGACGGAGTTCAGAGTGTTCACAGTCCATTTTATGTCCAACGATGAGCTGGCGCTTGCCACTACTCTGACATCTGAGAGTATTTGTGACATTGTCAGTCTTTCTCCTGTTGTTGTTACTGTTTGGTGTAATGTTATTCAATGTTTTTTCCCCAAATTTAATTGAATGATAACTTTAAAGTTGAGATTGCTGAAACCATAATATAATGGCAACACTGATACTGTTATTACCACTGGTATTGTTAATACCACCTGATAGTCCTGGTGTTGCTGCTATCCCTGGTTTCACTGTTCCAAGTCTTGTTATATGCATCAACTATTACATCAAAAGTCCTCAAGGTAAAAATTTAATGCTGTAAGCTTTCTCAATTCCATGTTTGGTATGAAGGCCAACTGGTTCTGAAGTCCTATAATTCACAATTTGCATATGACGTCTTCTGTGAGGAAATAAAACCCATTAGCTTACCAGAGAACACCAGCCGTTTTTGCAAAACATTGTCAACATATCCCTTTACGGACCATTTTTAAGGTCGTGCAGTTAATGAAAGCAATCAATTGTCTGTAAAAATAGTCCTTTGTGTCTGCCTCATGCTCTCCACAGCACAAGCACTCTCAGAGTATTGTTTTGCGATGAGCAGACAATATTCCAAGACCAGACGTAGTTGCTCTTGTTTACAGTCCTTGCTGTGGTTTATTTACCAAGTCAGAGTTACATGTGGAGGGTACTGTTAATACACAAACATATATATGATGTGGAAATAAACAACCTGTGACAGAGATATATCCGCATTTAAACTTTTAATCCCTGATTGACTTCGGGCACTCACTGCATGGATGCACGTGTAATCCGTTCTTAAGTCAAATACAAAAGGCTGCCTGTGATGCTCACAGTCCTAAGTTGGTGGGGACAGCTTACCTTTGAGCATTAAGCTTATGCTGTGGCTATATAATGATTATATATCTGTGCTAAGCTAGCTGTGCTCTAGCAGAACCAATGCTGAATATCATACACAGTGCCGCTCTGTAATCAATCCAGTGCTGAAATGTCAAGTCAGTGTTGCAAATAATCCTCCCAGAAATGAATTTATTGTGCTGATGTCAGAATCTCCCCGAGAATTAAAAATGCAATCAATCCACTGTAATCAGCTTGGAGGTCAGCGTTACTGCTAATAAAGATGTAACTTTGTCATAAGGAAAGGCACAGTGGCAGAGTCAGAAACCTGGAATCCAATAAAAGTACAATGAATCCCGTATTATCAGGTCCAGCAGATGTGGTAGTTGTTGTCACACTGTCTTTAATTACAACTGTGTTATCTTTCTCAACTTCAACTTTCTTATGGCATATGTGACAATTTCCCTGTTGATACTCTGAACCTAGTTCCTGCAAGAGATCCTGCGTTTCTGTAGTATTTCCCCAATATTGATATTGTGGTATGAATATTCTTCCCAGCCCAGATGGCTAACAGCCTGATCAATCACCACACTGTGTTGTCTCTCAAAGCTGCCTTTTGCTAGTATCCAGAATCTTTGGCATTGAGTCATGTGTCATGCACTGTAGGGGGGGTTTATTTCCACTAAAAAACACACGTACAGTTAACTGTATCAGACAGTATTTCAGCTGCAAGATTAATGTTGTGATGACTTATGATAAATTCTTATCCTCTGTATCCTCCCAGTTTTAATCTGAAACACCATGCACTGCAATTCCAGTCATGCCAAACCTTTGTTATTTCAACCTCGATGAAATATGTAGTTATTAGAGTTTTTCTACAAGTGGAGTACGTATTGCCTCAAGGTTACTACAGCTCTGGCTGACAGTCCAATCTGTATTATTTCTGCCTTATTTCAATATTCATAGCATCATGATTAAAACCTACCCTCAGGGACTCCTTGTTTCATAAATCAAGTGCAGTTCTTGACCCCTAACCATCCACATATGCTGCGTTACTACAACAGCAGTTGTGCCAAGTGTTCACGATATCGGTCTTATTGAGGTTTCGTACATATATATATATATGTATCCTCCAGGGCGTGCCCTCTCAGCTCTGACTAATTGCAGCACTTAGTCTCCTCCCACTATTTCTATATAGCTGATTACTTCAGAGCTCTTAAAATTATTGTATGATATAACTTGTTGAATGATCATACTGAGAAGTGCAGGCATTTATCAATTTCATCTTTTCTGCGCCACTAAGTCAGTTGTGAGCATTTACAGGACTGTGTCTGTTTTGAGGTTTTTTCTCTCTTTGATTCCATTTAGGAGTGGCAAGCCATCAATCACGGTCTGTAACTACAATCCCTGATGTTTTTTCCCCCTTCAGAATGTGGATGTTTACATCTCCTTCATTTCTGTATCATATGGCATGTTTGTTTCCTCCTCTATAATTAACACACCAGATGAATTCCCTTGAAAGAAATAGGTTAAGTGTCTCTTGAATGGTTTCAATTTTTTGTCATACAAAAAAACTGAAATTGTATCTTTGCGAACTGTTCCTGTTTCTGCAAATTATGGATGTTTACTTCATCATTTCATTTTTTGGGGTCTGTTTATCAATTATGCATGTTTTCTATTCCAATCTCCTTTTACGCCAGGATAAAAAATAAATTGTTATAGTACTTCCAGAGAATGTTTTAGAATATTTGCTGATTAATGTAACAGTCTCTGCAGAATGGTTTTCTGTCCACTCCTCCGGACAGACCGTACGTGTCATCTGTCAGAATAATTTTCTCTCTCTGCCCTAATATCTCTCTCTGCCCTAGATGTTTGCTTCATCTAAATGAAATTGTTTATCTTTCCAGGCTGATTCTCAATACTCTTTATCTCTAGAAAATGTATTTTATTGTCCTCTGCACGATAGAGTTTTCTATTACTCTGAACAGATTGTCAATATACCCAGTTCCTTCTGTAAATCATTCCTGGGGTTTGGTTCTTTATCTGATCTGTGGGAAGTTGACCATACTAACTCACTGCTAATTTTGTGGACTGATTTCATGAGTTGCCTGGATGGTTTCACCATCATCTGAATGTAGTATCTATCTGCTGAATAGTTTTTATTTATTTCTGTATTTTTAGAATTGGGTGGTTAATCCTTGTGAAAATCCTCTGAATTATCAATCAAACCACAACAGTTTTTCATATGACATAAACCAGTGTCTCATTTTATTGGAGCCAATGCAATCTTTGTTCCTTGTCTGCTCACAGATTTCTATATTATCCAGATGCTTTCTCCTTTTTCTTTCCCCCTTAGTTAAAATAGTTCCTCTCTGTTACACATAAAAATTATTTCTCCATCAGTTATACCACTTGAACCAGTGTGTATTTTCTTCACAAATCGAGTGTGTTTCCCTTTTTGGTGGACCAGATATAATATATTAATCTTCAGAATGATTTTGCCATCTCAGTTGCATCTTGTTTTGTGGATTGAATTCATTGATTTATTTCTGTTCTAAATAGTTGACCACCACCTGAATAAATCTCTTTTCCCAAGACTGAATTTTAATTAATACTTCATCTTCACAGACTGAATGTTTTTCCTTTTTCCTCATAAGCCAGAAATTGCACCTAAGTCTTCAGAATATCTCCATCTTTCTTGCATCTCGCCATCTGTTTTCTGGATTGAAGTCTGTGATTTATTTCCCCACTAAGTAGTTTGCTGCCATCTGAAAATATATTCTCTCTCCCCAGAATGGTTTCTTTATCATCTTGCTTGAGTCATCTCTTTTGAATGAATGGCAGTGACAGATCGTCTGCAGATGAGAACAGAAACAGCAATTTGTGCTGACTCAGTGTTGCTGCTTTCCGATTAATTCTGCCTAATTCTGCCTTACACCTGCTCTGTTGCCTGGAATCACCATTAAAACATCATCATTATTATTAAATATACAAAATGTTGTACAGTATTAAACTTGTTTACTGTCTGTGATGCTTAATTAATTAAATTAGTATCCCAATTACTGTGAATCCTTTAACAATAAATCTGAAACAGAAGTTCAAGTTAATTAATTCCGTTTATTACATTTTTTGGCTTTTCATTTTGAAAAAATAAATAAATAAATAATTATATTTTCCATAGAAATGCAAAAAGATAAAGAATGTTAAATTATTTTGCTCATGTGTTCATAATAATGTCGTTATATTTCCATTTTTGTCTGTCAGCTGTGCTGGTGATATGCGTGTCCATATTGAATAAAAAATATTGTTTGTCTATAATTAATTCCTGATATCAAATATGACACTGTCACGTGACCTAAGAGACAGAGTGACAGATCAATGTTTTGCCCCGGATAAAATTGGTGGATTTGAACACTGCCTTTGAGCTGAGCTCACCATTTAGACCTGTAAGTATCAGTCATTTGATAGGTCCTCAGAGACTGGATGATTGAACAGGGTGTACTTCAATAATCCATAGGTCCACTATTCCAACACACTGCTATTCCAATTAGGTGTCCGCTTTGCCAAATATACAGTAAGAGCACAAAGATAGTAAATTAAATGTGCTTCTTTCACAGGAGGCCAGTGCTCCAATTATGCAACTAATACAATTAATTTAAATGCAGCTATTGCATCAATAAACTTTTTCAGAAAAGGAGACCTTCAGAATAGTGGTCAATTTCAGAATAAGGCTCCTTAACTTTTCGGAATAGTAGACCCTCAGAATATACAACTGCCTCAGATTGAATATACAAGGTGGTTATTTCATTTAGTTAGCACAAGTCTTGCTTGAAGAAATAATGGCCAGGTTACCAGTACATTCATTTCAGTTATTTTGTTTCCATACTGCTAATATTTACTCAGACACATTGCATGTACTGGATACATGTTTTGCATCAATACAAACAAAAGTAGCAATTAGAGTGATAAACCGTATCACAGTGAATTATTTATTAAAGAAAATGAGATGGTTGTTGTTACTTTGATCATAATATTGTAGCTATAAATAAACTGGAACAATGTGTAGGTTGATGATTGATCTTTACAACAGAAGGTCAATGCCCTTGTCTTTTATCAGACTAGCCAAAAAGAGTCTCAGATGTTCAAATAAAGGTATGTCTTTTAAAATCTTTATTACTTGTCATAAGCTCTAAAATGTGATGTTTATTAACTCCAGAGACAATGTGAAGTTGGTGCCCTTTTAAACTTACCATTTTCAAAAAAAAAAAAAAAAAAAAAATGCTGTCTTTTTAGTCCATACTTACAGATAATAATAATAAAAGAATTATTAAATAAGTTCATACACATTCTGTCATAAAAACGTATCAGGGATGTGACTGACGTAGCATTAAAGAATAACTTGTTAACTGAAGCTACTTTAGCCCAAGACTCTTTATTCTTTTATCATATGTGTCTGACTTAAAAATGATATTATATAAAGTATGATGGTATTTCCTTAAAATTTTAATTTACCTCTTTATATAAGATTATCAGTTTTTCAAGATTTATCTGTCTATTCCTAAAAATGTACTCTCTCAGGAAGCCAAATAATTCTTTTATACTTTTGAATCAACATTTTAAAGTATAACTAATAGCTAAATCATTGTTTTGTGGAAACTAAATCAATTTATTTTGTTTGATTTTTAAAAATATCAAAAAGAAATTAAAGTAAAAAAATCATATGTCATGCAAACTGTATAAGATGCTTATCATGTTGTCTAGCTGTTTACTCCTAAGTTGTGATTTTTTTAAAGCTGGGGGTGTATTTTTAAGCCATATAATTGATTTTGTAAAAAGTTTTGGCTAATTGGGAAAAGAAAAACAATTCTTCTACCGGAAACCGTGTTTCCGTACAAGATATATAGGTTGCACCTACAGTACTGAGTACATGGTTCACTGTGTACACATAATACTGATATAATCTGCCTCAGCAAGCTGCGCGATTGTGATTAGCTCACTACAGGGAAACCAGTCAAGCAGCCCAAATTATTGGCTCACCTTAATAACCCCAGTATCAGGGTGAAAGGGGGGGGGGGGAGATTTGCTGCCAACGCTAAGAGCTTAGCTTAAACAGAATCAGATGGCACTCTGTGATGGGTTATATTGGGAAACTGATCATAGTAGGCTGTCTGGTTATTAATTCTCCATGTAAAAGGTCCATATATTGCTTATATAATAATAATAATAATAATGATGATGATGATCATGATGTTTACTGGGTTTTAAAATGACTTTGGAATCGTCAAAATAGACAAAAAAAAAAAAAATCAAAATCGTGCAGTTGCAGATCTGGATTGATTTGATGCAAGCCCAAGGACCTTAATTATAATTTTATATAGAGCTAAATAATACATCTGTTATTAAACAATTGTTTTTATCTTAAGAATCTGTTTTTTTTTCCTTTAAATTTATTACTATTGGTTTTACAAATTACACTTTTTTGTACCCCTTGGGTGAACAAGAAATGTCTAGCATTTTGTGCTTTACAAAAGTACAAACCTCCGCATGGAAGATGTGACAGTGGGTGCCTATATTAATGAGGTTTTTGATTGATCACAATTTTCGTGATTAATCCCGCAGGTGCAGTACACCTGTTGTGACACCAGGAGAGAGAGAGGTTGTTATTATAGAAAAACTACTTGTGGAAATGTAGGCTCGAGTTACAGCATCCTGTGCTTGGAATGACGTGAATGTTTTGCGTGTACTGTTGTTATTGTTAGTGGTGAGGTGATAATTCTATATAATAGGCCTGTAATAAGTATACATGTAAGCAAGGATGTTTAATACATTCCTGATTTAAGTATGAAAAAAAATCAATAGAAATAGCTGTCCTTTGTGTGAGTGGTCTTCAAAGTAACTACACCAATTTTTAATGGAAAAATAGCAACTTTATAATGTAAAATCTAGTGCATGCATGGAACCGCCTGTCTTGGCATAAAAGGCTTGTTGGAATGCACAAAGGCACTGAATATAATGCGTACTAAACATTGGTAAAATATTTAAAAGCTTTAAGGTACAACATTACATTTTATTAATCTCAGAAAAGGCATTGTTGGCATATGATAGATGTCAATAATTTATGAGTGTTGGAAGAAAATTGTCAAAATCCATTTTGATGAAATATTTTACAGTAATATATTGAACTGGTACTGAATTTGTTTTAAAACAAGGAAAAAAATGATAAACTAGCATTTTTATCTGTTATTATATTAGTGGGCTATTCGGCAAATTTATCGGGAATTTAGGAAGACCAAAGAGTCATAATACATTTCAGTTCTTTTTGTTAATTAATACCGACAGCTTGGCTGCATGTATATGACCCTGTATAATACCCTAAAAATGAAGTTTCATCTTATGGAAAAAAAGAAACAGAAATTCATACTGATGCATATATAATTTGTCATCATGAAAGTTAAGGCCTTTTTCTTCTTTCACGGAAATGAAAAGTGTGCATGACAAGAACAGTGCGCCACAGGGGTCATTGTAGCCCTCTGGTGCTTACCATTGTTACTTCAGTTGTTTGGTAAGGTTATCAAGAGTCATGACTATGATTTTTCCTCTGTAGTTAACACCTTCTAATGCTATGTGTTAAGTAGGTGAGACAGGTTATTTCATCACTTTCCTAGATGATAATTACACAGTTTACCATGTCTTACACTAAGTACGTATTCAGACTTTACGACAGGTAAAAAACGTCATTTGATCTGACAAGTGTGAAAATTCTGTCAAACTTTAAAAACAAAATCCATCAAACCAAAACAAAACTGTAGAAATACTGCAAATTATTTGATGTTTTACTGTTTTCATGTTTTTTTTAAATCATTTTCAGTAATATAAATAGACAGAGATGTGTTTTCCATGTAGATGAATTTCATACTATGCAACATTTTTAAGAGAGAAAAAGACATATTTCCATACTTTGTTACTTAAACTTATCTGTACTACATGTATTTGTCATATATTTGATTGGGTTATTATTATGCATACATACATACCATACATACACGTAATTTACACAACAGTGAAGTGCGTTTTGTAGTAACTTGGTGTCGTATCATAAAAAGTATATGCTAGAAATTGTAATAGTGCTTTGTAAGTTAAAACATTCCATGAAATCTTTCCTAACAAATATGTTTTGCATGGGTACTGTAATTGAAGGCACCTGTGATGGAACAGTTTAATTGTAACTATAAATTTAATAAAATATTAACATTTATTTTTGTTATTTGAGCTTCAGATATCCTAGGTTACTCAGTCACTGCCTCTCTCTGGACAGCACACTGACAACTTTCAGTCTACATGCGATAATTTTTAACACCTAATCAGACAAAAAGGCTTTTGTGCATTCATCAAAAAACATATGACCCACATCTTGTACAATTTAGAAATACTTTATTCATAAAATGATTTTTTTTTATTTTACCGATAACCCACTCAACATGATTTCTGAGCTGGGTGAATTTTCCTCTTCGTGTGTTGCTGTCTTTGTAATTTGAACCCCAATAGTACATGTGGGTAATACCTGGTTACGAGTAGTCATGAAAGTTCTTGAATTCCTGGTAAATAGTAAACCCTGTACAAAACTGAACAGCCCTGGTTTTTTCATTCACAGATTTTAGCAATTCATGAGGGTCTGAATACTGCATACAGTAGGAATGGTCGACTTCTGACATCTCCTTTTGCATTTTTAGACATTTCATTTTCACTAACATGCAAAGGCTGTTTTGCCAAAGTCCCCCCCCCTTCCCCCATTAACTGACCTTTTTTTGGTTTTAATTTAAATATCCTTAGTCTGCTAGTGATATAGGTTTTCTTTCTGCCTACGAAAGGTTCTGTGCAAACCCAGTGCCCTGTTTTTGGCCCAAATCTTCCTAGCTTCCCTTTCTTTCCAGCTCTACCGATGTTGTCTAC